TAATTATAATATTCGTTATTTTATTTGTAAAATTAAAAGTTTTTTATTGTTTTTATATAAATATTTGTTTAGTTAATATCAAAAAGTAACTTCATGTATTTTTTATTAATAGTTTATAATATTCAAGTCTTACACTGGGAATATAATCGGACGGTGATTGAAATTAGTGGCTTAACCTGTCACAGATTACGGACGTGCATCGAGAAACCATTATGTCATCATATGATATATAATTTAAGCGTCTAACTTTTGAGACTCTGAAGTCTTAAACCTTCTTGTAGAAAAAAGGGTGTTCGCAAAGGTCGCAAATAACTTTGAAAAGATGCAAAGGCAGCGACTTTGCAGCAGGCATCTCTACCCTCAAAAAATTTTTTTCGAACCATTTTTGTGCTAAAAAAAAAAAAATTCTGAAAACCAAGTAAGGATTTAAAAATATTTTTAAAAGAGTAATCTCAGTTCGTATGTATTTTTAGAACCTTGATGAGAATTCACATTAAAACCTAGGTCGATTCAGATGTGCTCTGGAGAACGTAAAAATTAGTAGAGACAATCTATAATACGTTACGAAACACTCGGAAAACTTAATTCTGCTGTCATATACGATTTAGATTATAAATACGTGTGGCAGCAATTGAAATAACAATTTAATGCCTGAAAAGTATTTTACACATACGTCACGACTCTTTTTTAACGCTAGAACACCAATACCTCAGCCTCAAGTTGTTTCCTTCTGATAATGAAAGATGATTACATCAAGGGCATCTCCGAAACATTAAAGACATGTGTCATAATTTCGAAAGCGACTGGTGATATTGGCTTAAAAATTCACAATATTTGATCCTTCGAATCTTATATTGCGGGTACTAATAAAGAGATGCGAGCATGAGTCTTATTGAGACTTATTCTATGTACTCTGGATATCTGATTTATTTATGAAACTGACGATGATTAGAGTCTTTTTGATCCAGCAGAGGCACCTGGACTTATGGATGTATAGAGATGAATTTGAATTACTGACTTTTTGACTTTTCGATTGCACAAATTTAGAAATTATATGAGGATTAGGTTTAGCACGCAAAACCGTTAAAGCTCAAAAAGTATGGTCCGCAATATTAGAATCACAAGTCGAAATGGGTACTCCATACATGCTTTATAAAGATTCTTGTAATCGTAAATCAGCAGAACCTTGGAACGATCAAATGTAGTAATATTGCACTGAGATTATTGAATATTCTAACAGTGATTAAGTGGCAGTGGCAAGCATAGCTTTACTAAAGTTTGTTACGGATAAAACACGTATGAATTTGAACACTTGCATGTGGTCTGGCTTTTAATAATATATATTTAATTATTAATGCAAGTTTATTGCTTCATTATTTATAGGTCACAAAGTTATAACTCGTAATTTAAATAAAATAATTGACATTAATTATTATCCTGTTGAAGAGGCGCGTAGGTCTAATTTTCGACATCGTCCAACGGGCAAAAATCCGATGTATTTATATTTAGAAATTAGTTGCAATCAAATTATGTTCAAAGGCACTACGGTTACCTCTGTGGATTTTGCCTTCCAAGCAGAAAATATCAATCTCAGGGTAATAAAGGGATTAGTAACGAACCTCAACGAAAATTCTACATTAACATCTTTTTGAATCTCATGTCAACTCGACTTGATCTTCATATCGTATTAGTATTAATATATCGGCCAATCACGTTTATGAAAATCATCTGACATAATACCTAATGCATAAAAAGGCAATTCATCAACTTCATCTTAAATTGATACCAATACTTCTTGAGTGCTTCTACATAATCATTAAGAATTTATTTTCATGCATACTTGTAAACCGTGAATGGTGTCGCACCATTATACCCATAATGTGGACGAACCAAGACAATATTTTGAAAGCGAAAAGTTTTGCTTCTAATGCTAAACCCCAAAGAGCAGGCTTCAATGGAAATTACACTCCCAAGCCAGCCAAAGCCACTTTTTTTCGAACATACGAATTATATTACAATTGTCGTCCGGTGCTTGTATCTTGGAGTTAGACAACGTAATTACCCCGGCAAAGAATATCTCAAATGTGCAATTAAACATCTTTTAATTAGAATGCTTCTTCGAACAGGGTAAAAGTCTTAAACGTTTATATATTGAAGAAATTAATGTCTGTTGCGTAATTGTTTTCAATCTCAGGCAATAGAGGATTGGTTACGAACCTTGATGAGAATTCTACTCTGACTTCTTGAATCTCATAGCAACTCAATTTAAGAAAAACAATTGAAGCCGGTATTGTGTGCACTAGAAAAATGAAATCACTCGGGATTCTCATGGTAATGAGGCCGGAAAAATTTTTGGGAATTTTTTTCGAAAAAAACAAATTTTTGACCGATCTAAGTCTATTAGCTGAAAAAAAATTCCGAAAACCAAGTAAGGATTTATCGAAACAGTTAAACCTCTTAGTTTTGCAATGCTAAAAATATTTTTAAAAGAGCAATCTCTGTTCTTAGAATCTTGATGAGAATCCACATTAACTTCTTTAAATCCTAGGTCGATTCAGATGGGCCTGGAAGAATGTAAAAATTAGTGGAGACATCCTATAATATCGTTACGGAAAAACTTAATTCTGCTGTCATATACGATGGAGATTATAAATGCGTGTGGCTGTTTACATTCATGGTAAAGATGTCGATGAAGCAACAAATTGTCTGAAAAGTATTTTACACATGCTTCGCGACTCTTTTTATCGCTAGAACATCACGACCTCAGCTTCAAGTTGTCTCCTTCTGATAATGAAAGATGATTCCATCAAGGACGTCTACGAAACATTAAAGACAAGTGCCATGGTTTCGAAAACGGCTAGTGATGGCTTAAAAATTCACAATATTCGATCCTCTGAATCTTACATTGCAGGAACTAGTAGTTATTCAAATGGGATTATTCCCATGCTTCGTGTATATAATACTGCATGATACGTTGGTCAAGAGGAAATAAACGTCCCGATGTATTCGTAGTTTATTTGGAAAACATGACATCTAAAAAGAATACCGGTATAGAAGAGATACGAGCAAGAGACTTATTTTATGCCCTCTGGATATCTGATTTATTTATGAAAATGACGATGATTAGTGTCTTTTTAATCCAGCAGAGGCACCTGGACTTATGGGTGTAGAGATGAATTTGAGGTAAGATTGCGATGTAAGATTAAAGAACTTTTTACCAATGTGGATTACTGATTTTTCTATTGCATAAATTTAGAATTATATGAGGATAGGATTAACGCAAAACCGTTAAAGCTCAAAATGTATGGTCTGAATATTAAAATCACAAGTCGAAATGGGTACTCCATACATGCTTTATAAAGATTCTTGTAATCGTAAATCAGCAGAACCTTGGTCTAACAGTGATTAGGTGGCAGTGTGCAATCTAGCAAGCATAGCTTTACCAATGTTTGTTAAGGATAAAAAACACGTATGAATTTGAACACTTGCATGTGGTCTGTCTTTTAATAATATATATTTAATTATTAATGCAAGCTTATTGCTTCATTATTTATAGGCCACAAAAGTTATAACTCGTAATAATTGACATTAATTATTATCCTGTTGAAGAGTCGCGTAGGTATAATTTTCGGCATCGTCTAATTGGCAAAAATTCGATGTAATTATATTTAGAAGAAATTAGTTGCAATCAAATTATGTTCAAAGGCACTACGGTTACTTCTGTGGATTTTTGCCTTCCAAGCAGCAAATATTAATCCCGGGTAATAAAGGGATTAGTAACGAACCTCGACGAAAATTCTACATTAACATCTTTGAATCTCATATCAATTTGACTTGATCCTTACATCGGCCAATCATGTTTAATGAAGATTATCTGACATAACAACCAATAAAAAGGAATTCGTCTCAATTTTTATCTCGACTTCATCTCAAAATGATACCAATACCTCTTGAGTGCTTTCATAAGATCATTAATAATCTTAAGAATTTATTTTCATTGATGCTTGTAAATCGTGAATGGTGTCATATCAATATACTCATACTGTGGAACGAACCAAGACAATATTTTGAAAGCGAAAAGCTTATACAAGTTTTGCTTCTAATGTAAACCCTGAGGAGCAGGCTTCATTGGAAATTACGCCCACAAGCCAACCAAAGCCACTTTTTTTCGAATATACGAATTATATTACAACTGTCACCCAGTATGGTGTGTTGGGTTAAGTCTTAATTATGAAGACGAAGATGGAATTTTGCTTGAATATGCAATTAAAAAAATCTTAAACGTTTATATCTTGAAGAAATTAATTGCAATCAACTAATGTTTAAGAACACTGTTGTAACCTCTGTAGATTTATGTCTGTTCCATGAATATTTTCAATCTCAGTCAATAGAAGGGTTAGTAACGAACCTCGATGAGAATTACGCCCTGACTTCTTTGAAACTTATATCAATTCAACTTAAGAAAGAAGAATTAAAACCCGTATTGCGTGCACTTGACAATGGTACAGACATAAAACCATTCGGGATTCTCCACGAAAAATTTTTGGGATTTTCTTCGAAAATCAAAATTTTGACCGATCTAAGTCTATGAGCTGAAAAAAATTCTGAAAACCAAGTAAGGATTTATCAAAACATTTAAACCTCTTAATTTTGCAATCATAAAAATTTTTTTAAACGAGTAATCTCAGTCTTAGAATCTTGATGAGAATTCACATTAACATCTTTAAATCTTAGATCGATTCAAATGAGGTCTGGAAGAATGTAAAAATTAGTGGAGAAAACCTATAATATCGTTAGGAAACACTCAGAAAAACTTAATTCTGCTGCCATATGCGATAGAGATTATAAATGCGTGTGGCTGTTTGCATTCATGGTGAAGATGTCGATGCAGCAATTGAAACCAACAATTTAATGTCTGAAAATTATTTTACACATGCATCACGACTTTTTTTAACGCTAGAATACCACGACCTCAACTTCAAGTTGTTTCCTTCTGATAATGAAAGATGATTCCATCAAGGGCATACGAAAGCAGCTGGTGGTATTGGCTTAAAGTTTTACAATATTTGATCCTCCGAATCTTACATTGAGGGAACTAATAGTTATTCAAGTCGAGACTTATTCTGGGTATCTGATTTATTTATGAAAATGACGATGATTAGAGTCTTTTTGATCCAGCAGAGGCACCTGAACTTATAGGTGTAGAGATGTATTTGAGGTAAGATTGCGATGTAAGATTAAATAACTTTTCACCAATGTGAATTACTGATTTTCTATTGCACAAATTTAGAAATTATACAAGAATTAACGCAAAACCGTTAAAGCTCAAAATGTATGGTCTGAATATTAGAATCACAAGTTGAAATGGGTACTCATACGTGCTTTATAAAGATTCTTGTAATCGTAAATCAGCAGAACCTTGGAACAATCAAATGTAGTAATATTGCAGTGAGATTGAATATTCTAACCGTGATTAGGTGGCAGTGGCAAGCATAGCTTTACCAATGTTTGTTAAGGATAAAACACGTATGAATTTGAACACTTGCATGTGGTCTATCTTTTAATAATATATATTTAATTTATTAATGCAAGTTTATTGCTTTATTATTTATAGGTCACAAAGTTATAACTCGTAATTTAAATAAAATAATTGACATTAATTATTTGAAGAGGCGCGTAGGTCTAATTTTCGGCATCGCCTAACGGGCAAAAATCCTATATATTTACATTTAGAAGAATTTAGTTGCATTCAAATTATGTTCAAAGACATTACAGTTACCTCTGTGGAAAAGCGTTAGCTGTCACACTTTGCGAAAACACCACCTTAACCTTTTTAAATATTAAACATAATGATCTTGGATTAGAGGAAGGGAAAATGTTAGCGAATGCATTTTGTAAGAACACTTCACTAAAAGATTTAAATCTACAAAATAATAATTTTGGAGACAAGGGAAATAAAGTGGTTGAAGATATACTTCTTTTTTAATTATAAATATGCCCAGTGCAAAATGATTTGCACCTCAAATAGCTATGATTAAAAAAATTTTTTTACAATTTAAATTTTGATTTTTTAATTCAATGTAATTTTTGGATAATCGGATTTATAAAAATATAATTAGTTTAATTATTTTATTATTAAAATAAAACTTTTATTAATATTAACTTTTTAAAAATATTTTACTATATAATTTTACTATATAAATTTACTTGTAATTTATATATATATATATAGTAAAAAAATCAAATTATCTAACTTTAAAGCTTAATTTTTTTACAACTAGTAATCCAAATTTGCTCAAATTTTAACCATATATTTATTATATGCTTGTAGTGTTCTGATGAACCCGAACTGGACCAAGCTTTAGGTTGAGTTCAAGTTTGGTTCAAATTTGAACTGAACCTGAACTGAACCTAAACTGGACTTATTTTTAAAAATACAGTTCGGTCCGAGTTTAACATTGAACTTTTTGTGCAGGTTCAAGAGTTTATGCAAGTTTAATAATGGCTATATGATAGCTTCAGACCAATAATGTTACATATTAATCTAGTATAGTTGATTATTGCTTAATACTAGTTTTTACAATATGAATTAGAGATTTGGATTTGATTCACAAATCCATTTCGAATCCTATAATTTACAAATCCTTGTTGAGCTGAATTCAAAGAGAGATTTGATTAAATAATATTTAACTCAGATCCATTATTATTACTAAAATATGCAAATGTCAAAACTTTGATTTCTTGTACTCTTTTTTTTTTTGAATAGCATATAAAATACTACTATTCAAAATATATCGAGCTAATAGTGCCAGATATCAAACTTCATTAAATAATTTTAACATAAATAAATATGCAGCATATATTAATAGATTGTGCATGGGTTAAGAAGATTCAGTTGTGAATCTTGCTTCTTGTGGACTGTAGCATATTTATTTCTTATTGTTATAGTAAAACCTCTATAAGTGCACTCTTTATAAGTACACACTCTTTCTACATGCACACTATAGCCCAATTTACTTATTTACACCGGTAATACAAACCAAAAAAAGAAATTGCACTTGTAAATAAACTAAGAAAGTTTAGAATTAGGACGTTAGGGGGCATCCATATATAATGTTATGTACCCCTACATAGTAGCTCTTGACCCCCCCTAGACTATATAAAAATCCATATGTTTATATATATAATTTTACAAAAACTTGGATATATTATGACTCAGTGATCCAATCAGGATGATTTTGGTACCATTCG